GACAATTATATTCTGCTTTTGACAGCACTGTGTTTTCTCATTGTAAAAGCAGCCCGGATGGAGTAAAAAATAAAAGTCAAATAAAACTATTTGAAAGCAATATTTTGTGATGAACAGAAAACATTTTCTACAATCAGCATCCGTTATTTGATTGGTATATTTCTTACTTTATGATCTGGTAATTGCCAAAAGACGACAAGGTGTAGATGTACTTTCCTTAGTTTACTTTTAGCTCCCTGTATTTCAAGCCTCACAGGCAATGTGTTCCCTGCCTTATGTTTCAAGGGGACTCCAAGTATTTTTTCTCCCATGTGATTACAAAAGCAGTTAGCCTTTTAGCCTAGCAGGGGGAATGGGAGGAAAGAAAGAAGAAAAAAAAAAATTAAACTTTAGGCACTATATATCCAATCACTGACAACACTGTATTTTAATTATGGTTTTAAATATAAATATTATATCTAATATTGTATTTTAATTAATTTGTATACTATTGGAATACTAAACAAAGAGGAACTACCTGCTTACTCTGTAGTCTGGAGCAGAACAAAATAGAACAGGTAGGGCAGAACACAGCAAAAGGGTTGTAAATGTTTGTGCACAAGGTTTGATCTTGGGGATGCATTTTTTTTAAAGTTATTCAAATGCTGAGTTGCTTCCAAAGAGTATTATTCTCAGACATCAATAATGAACTCTTCAGATACCCTCATCCCAGACAGCTCTGAGTCCAGTTTATAACAAGACCAATAACTCACTTCTTGATCTCTAAAGCCACTTGTCCCATTCTCCTGACTTCAGGGCCAAAATGAGTTGTTTATTACTTATGGCAAGTATAAAAAAGGCCATCACAACCTGTGGTCAGTTCCATGAACAACAACTTGTTTTCTAATAACTGGCACATGGACAATAGCCAAATTTCTGAAAAGATTTAGGTACACCAAATGTATACAAGATGGTCATTTTAAAGTTCTCTTTCCCAGCAATATTTTAGCATCTAATTTGATAAATCATTACATTTGGAAGCTGTGAGGGTGTACAGAGACCTTCAGAAAGCAAACATAAACTGGAGGCATGGCAGTTTGAAGCTCTTCAAGCAGAAAAGTCTGGCAAAGAATAAAAGGGGGTTGCGATATGCATCAGTCTCCATGTAACCTTGAGCCAATCAGCTAAGTTCTCTGGAACACCAATCTTCTCATTTTATGAAACAAGATTTCATTCAGTAAACAGTACAACCTAGTGAAGGCCTGGATCTAGAATATCATAGGCCTTGGATGGATTGCTAGCACTAGCACTGGAGCTTTTGTTTCCTTGTTTGTTACAATTTGGGTATTAGTGAGTACCCTACAGAGGAATAATGATTAAATTGTCTACTTAATTTACTCTTAAGTGCCTGGCCACGTGTAAGTGGTCAATACAAGCTGTTTTCATTTTTACTATTACCAATGGAACCCACTGCATGCCTAGCATTGGGTAAGAGGCCCAGATTACAAGGTTGTGCAGAATGCAAGTCTATTCTCAAGGAATTCATTTTATAGGGAAGAGGCAGGGGGCACAAATAGGAAGCATCAAATTCCCCATTGAGAAAGAAAAGAGGCTTCCGTAGAAAAGTTGCTGGAGCCCAGGCTTAAAGATAAGTAGCGTTGGGACCAGAACCAGATGTCTAAGAACTCTTCGAGGTTTAAAGTTAGAAACTTTTGAAAATGTTGGTCTAGAATATTGTATAAACGAAATTAGAACACATTCATTCATTAACTTTCCATCCAGAAATGTAATCATTAACTACTGCTCGACACTCCCTTTCCCACAAAACCAAACAAAACCTGTTTAGCAATCCCAATCCTGGGGCTTGGAAAATACTTTTATGTCCTACTCTCTGTTTGCATGTATGAACTCACACACGTGAGTTGTGAAGTACTCCTCCCATACTCAGAAAACCGGAGGCCAATATCACAGGCACAGCCAGGGAATGGACCGGCCAAAGCTCAGACTTTTGGATCGCATTTGACACGGGTCATCCAGTTTTAAACAGGGCACCAGCTCAGGGTCAGCAGCCTCACTCCAGTCAAAGAAGAGGAGCCAACGGTCGCAGGCGCAATGTCAAAGACGTCTGGAGCAGAAAAAGGTCTTCGATCCCAGGGCCATCGGGAGCCAAGGCTCCTAGGGTATCCCAGCGCTCGCCTGGGACAATGTCGCGACCCACCCCGGGCCGCTCGCAGTGCCTGGGCCACGCTGGGGTGCACTGGGGTTTCTTCTCCACACCCAGACTTAGCTTCGCAGCCGGAGGAGCCTGTCTTCCTGGAACACCGAACGCGGGCGGACTGTGTTCTCCGTCACAATCGGCTCGGACCAGCTGGGGGCCACGGGCGCCAGCGGGCAGCAGTGCCTTGCAAAAAGTGCCGCGCCCCACTCCGGTGCGCACACCTCCGCTCCCGCGGGCAGCGAGCGGTTGGATGTGCGGGGGACGGGGCGCGGCGGAGCTGAGCGGAGCCGAGCGGAGCCGAGCTCACTGCGGACCCGCCCCTGCGCCCCTCCCCCGCCGGCGGAGATTGACAGGGCTCTGGCACCCGCCCCAACCAATGAGCGCGTCCTGGGGCGGGCCCTGGAACCGGCTGCTCTGGCTACTTAGAGTCGTCGGCGCGGCTGTGGGAAAGCAGAGCCTAGCCGGGACTGTCCAGGGGGAGCAGGCACCCCGGCCAGTGCAGACCCGGAGGCGCACGGGCGCCGCACCGCACGGTTCGGCGCGGGGCAGTGCGGAGCCACAGCCCCACGCGCAGCCTAGGACTCACTCGCCACCGCCGCCTCCGCAGCACCCATGGGGACCAGGAGACTTTAAAGGAGTTTGGGGTTTCGGGAGCAGGGAAATCACGGGTAGGGAGAAACGGCTTTCTTTGCCTTGGAAACGGTTTTTCTTCGTCCGATTGTTTGGATCCTGTGCTGGGTTGGAGGGAGGGGGTCTTTGAGCTGAAAGTGGACCTCTCTACACACAAACGCTCCCACCCACACCCACACACATACACTGCACTGGCTTTCTCCATCCTCCCCTGCCTCTTTGTTAGGTTATTTTAGACAGAGCAGCCTCGCCCTGGCGCAGTCCGATTGGCTCTGCTGGGGACAAGGCAAGAGAAGTAAGGGGCAGAGTGCACCTGCCTGGGAGGGCAGGTGTGCCCGGGTGCTTGGGCGTACGTGCATCGGCGAGCGTGCAAGCGTGGGGCTGAAATGGTGCACGAATGTGTGGGGTCTAAGTGTGCCAGTGTGTCGTCGTGAAGGTTTGTCACTGTGAGTGTATGTGACATTATACACCAGTACACCAGCCTGCCAATGTCTGGACTCCCAAGTGTCCAAAATGTTGCTGGTGTCAAGTGAATGCCTGAGAATGTGTCCGATTGTCATTGTGCGAGCCGCTGTAAGGGGAGGAAGGCAACCTAGTGCGAAACTGGGAGGTGGGCTGGAGACATGGGAGCTCAGCTTGCTCCCAGCTCACGGGCCTTAGGCTCCCTTCTCCCTCTCAGCACTCCGTCCTTCCCTGGTGTCCGTCTCCCACGCTGCCACAGCCAGCGCTCTCCACCCCACGGGGACCCCGCAACCTCTCCAGCCAGCCTGGGTGTTTTCTTCTGGGAGTTGGACCGGGTTCCCGGAAGGGGTCGGAGGCTGTGCGGTGGTGTCTGCTCTCGCGGTCGCCTTCTGGACCGGTGGCAGCTTCTCCGCCCCTCCTACCCGCGGGGAGGCACGGGGACTCGGCTGGAAAAGGTGACTCTGGTGAAAGCACATAGGAGAGCCGGCAGGTCCCAGGGGCACGCACGTCTTGGGAAGGGACACCGAAAGGGACAGCCCCGACTCTGATGGTGTCTCTGCCTCTCTGTGCTCCGCAGATCCCCGCTCCTGGCCCTCGCCTCGCCGCCTCATTGATGGGCAACCAACTGGACCGCATCACCCACCTCAACTACAGCGAGTTGCCCACAGGGGACCCGTCCGGGATTGAGAAGGACGAACTGCGGGTCGGGGTCGCCTACTTCTTCTCGGATGATGAGGAAGACTTGGACGAACGCGGGCAGCCCGACAAGTTTGGCGTGAAGGCCCCCCCGGGTTGCACCCCCTGCCCGGAGAGCCCCAGCCGCCACCACCACCACCTGCTGCACCAACTGCTCCTCAACGAGACTCAGTTTTCCGCCTTTCGGGGCCAGGAATGCATCTTTTCGAAAGTGAGCGGCGGCCCGCAGGGCGCGGACCTGAGCGTCTACGCGGTCACTGCGCTGCCCGCGCTCTGCGAACCAGGCGACCTGCTGGAGCTGCTGTGGCTGCAGCCCGCGCCGGAGCCGCCCGCGCCCGCCCCGCACTGGGCCGTCTACGTGGGCGGCGGGCAGATCATCCACCTGCACCAAGGCGAGATCCGCCAGGACAGCCTGTACGAGGCGGGCGCGGCCAACGTGGGCCGGGTGGTGAATAGCTGGTACCGCTACCGCCCGCTGGTGGCCGAGCTGGTGGTGCAGAACGCCTGCGGCCACCTGGGCCTCAAGAGCGAGGAGATCTGCTGGACGAACTCGGAGAGCTTCGCCGCCTGGTGCCGCTTCGGCAAGCGGGAGTTCAAGGCGGGAGGGGAGGTGCCGGCCGCCGCGCAGCCCCCGCAGCAGCAGTACTATCTCAAGGTGCACCTGGGGGAGAACAAGATCCACACCGCCAGGTTTCACAGCCTGGAAGACCTCATCCGCGAGAAGCGCCGCATCGACGCCAGCGGCCGCCTGCGCGTGCTCCAGGAGCTCGCCGACCTCGTGGACGACAAGGAGTAGCCACCGAGGGGCTGCCGGCCCCGCCGCCTCCCCGCGTCCCGCACCCATCCAGTCCCCGCACCCGGACTTCGCGGCCGGCGGTTTTCAACCCCAGTCCCCTCGCGCGCCCGCCGCCGGTGGCCGAGGCCCGGGCTGCACCTTCGCACCCCGCTCCCCGGCCGGCGGCAGGAAGTCTCAGGAACTGCCCCGGGGCCGAAAGGGCGCAGCTGAACGGGTGGCGACGGTGCTGGGAGACCCGGCGTGCGCTTTCCCCTTAAGATGTGAACCAGGAAAGGGGAAGGGGCTGAGGGGAGAAAGGACGTGGCCTCCCCCGCGAGTCCATGGTCAGTGACTGTGACCCGACCGGGAAACGACCCTCTTCTCAAAAGCCACCATCACCGCCCCGAGCGCGCGCGCACAGACCGGTCGGAGGCGAGAATTGGTCTTTTCAGGGCACAGTTCAGCTCCTCTGTGGATGCGTCCCCAGATGGCAGGATTTCCAAGAAATCGAGACTGTCCCTCGTGCACTTGGGAATAATAATTCCCCAAGACAGCACTTGGGGATTCCGGGTAATCCTGAGGCTGCCCGGGACTTCTCCAGCTCTCCAGCCCCAGGTAACCTGACATTGTGTTCCAGGCTGCGGGCTAAGCCAGACAGTGTTCGCCTCCCGTTCTTTCCACCGAGGGAAGTGAACGCCACCCCCACCCGCCTTTGCCTGCGAGTCTCCCTCGCTGGCCGAAGGGAAGCCGGTCGGGTCCCGGGAGGAAGATGGCGCAGCGAATTCGGTGAGGACGGCCGGCCCCGCCCCCGACAAGGAACTCGCTCGTTCACCTGGTGTCTGGGAACTTGAATGTGTGATGGGCGCTTACTGTTCTGAACCCTTGATGGCTCCCTCCTAGGGCTGCATTTCAAAAATAGTCATATTTTTAAAGGAGTTGGAGGAGAGGGAGGGGGAGGACATGGCACCATTCCAGAAACCAGCATTATTACAACACCATAGCCAGTATGTTTAGTTTGGCTTTTCCTAACATAGAAATCTTTGAAGGTGGGGGAGTGGAAATAAAGTTTAAAAAATGAGAGAGCAGTTTTCCAACTATGTCAACAAAGCCTATCGTGTTGATGTTTTTATTGACCATTTTAGCAACATGCTAATAAAATTTCAAATTGAAATTTTTATTTTCATGGCTTTAATCCATGATAGTTTAAATACTGGGGGCCATTAAGAGTGGATGTAGCTAAGAGCTTAGCTAACATTGCCTTTTCACTCTATTTTTCTCAAATATTATAAGAATTCTGTTTTTGACTATTGTAGTTTTTTGGCTTTAAACAGCAGCCCTAGTAATAGTGGAGTTGTTAATGAATGTGTATATTGTACTGAATTTCTGTCAGTTAAGGGGTTCACTGCTTTGGTGGAAATTGCCAGCAGGTTCCATGATGTTTCTTTTATCCATGTTGTACCTCATCACCATTTCACATTTGCATTTCTATTTTTCTTCTTCTCCTCCTGATCTCCTTAAAACTGAATCTAGAGTCGGTGGCTTTTCCCCCTCCTCTTTAGCCAGTTTCACAGTTCAATTCTTGCTGAAAACAGGGAAGAACTAGTAGGATCAGGACAAATGCTTGTTTTTCAAAAACTGAAGGCTGGGTGTGAAACCCCTTCCTTAGACAAGGATTATAAACTTCTCTCCTCCTGCTGCAGCCCCAGCCTAACTGATAGTTACTTGATTCAATGTGTTAGACGCTTATAGCATTTAGGTCTCTTTCAAGGGAATTTGTCAAATAATGCTGTTTAGCTAATTGTTGCAAGCAATTGCACATTAACAGCTGTGATTTGGTTGGTCAGAAAGTATTACGACCAAAGCCAGTTTCTTGGCATTTCAAAAATAATGCAATAAAAACTAGTTGAGGTTAGCTGAGACTGAAAATGCCTTTTTCATGGTAAATGATTCACTTCTATTTTTTTTTCTTTCTTTTCTTCTTTAGTTTTCATCCTGGATTCATTCCCTGATCTTAAATCAAAAGGTCAGATCAATGAAATATGAACTAAAGTATTTTTCTTAAGCCTATTGAGTGATTTATTTTTTAAAAAATGTTCAAATGCATATGCTTTTCTTTTAGCACAACAGCAAAACTTTTGTAATAACTAACTTACCCTTGCATGTATAAATAACTGAAAGTCATTTATTTCCCTAGCTTATTCCTCTTTCAAATAACAGGTGGCAGATCATAAAACGAAATTCTTTATTGTATCTACACATTCCACATTCCTTACTGTGTCCTACTACTGTATCTTGGCTCCCTGCTGTATTAAACACCATCTTAAGCACTTGTTCCTGCAGGACTCCTTCTTGACATTTTGTCTTCCCCCTCAAAGTCACTCAAGGGTGGGACTTCATCAAAAGAAATGAATTAGTCTCCATCACACCTAATACTAAGATTTATTTCCTCTGATGGTATGTAGATTTCTCTCTCACTAAGAGGTTACTCTCATAGAGGAACGGCTTGTCAGCTTTATACTTGCCGAGGCTAGACTGGCAGTAAAAATGAGTTGGGTAGTTAAAGTGACATTCGTTATATTGGCCTATAAAAGGATCAGGTCCGTGATAATACCTCTACAAACACGCAATAATAAAACAATAGTTACAGAAGAAACTTGAAAGGTTTGCAAGGTTTCTCTTATTCCCGTTGAAATAATCATTTATTATCTCTTTGTTCAGTGTTAATAAGGTAACCCATGGCAGAAAAATTTGAGTAACAGTTTATCATGCAGAGGATATGGTCAAGATATTACCTAATGGTTTTATCCTGAAAAAGGTGTATACATTGACAATGTGAGTGAATCCAAGATGGTGAAATTTCCCATGGCAGATGGCATGGGCACACTTGATTTTTATTGTGAGTGAATGTAATCATTCTGTATTTTACCAGAGGTGTAGAAATTAGCCCAAAAGTTTCCTCAACACTTTAATGGTGTTAGGAATTTAGTTTTCGTATTAGTTGTCCTTTAGAGACCGCAGCTTCCTAGTAATTTCCATGATGTTGGGTGTGGCTAAGCTGGGGATGGGTTCTGCTGAGCCTGCCCTGGTATAGAGGAAAGCTATCTTTATACTACATCTTTTCTCCACTTTCAGGTAGTGAAAACAAACTATGATTTAAAAAAAAGAAAAAGAAAAGACAAGACAGGTACTTTTACTTCAAAGAGTGCTTTGCTCTACTTTTATTTAAACCAAAAATAAAATAAAATAAGGAGGAGGGCTGGATATACTTTAAACAAAACCAGTCCTGAAATGCTGTTATTCTCAAAGTACATTCCTTCTATTAAAAAAAAAAAAAGCTATAGAATTTACATACATTTTTAAAAGTATGAGTTAAATCGATGTAAAGTGTTCCTCAACATTTAAAAATGTAAGCTGCTGTCATGACAGTATTTTATTAAAATAATATGTATTATAGTTAAGAAAGAATTGTGCTAGATTAGAACATCAAGCACAGGGGCAGATGTATGCTTCACTTGATATATTTTTTTAACATTTGTGTTTACCTTCCCCTCTGTATAATTTTTCTGTGGTGAACACTGTTGTTGGAACATGGCTATTTTATTTTTCTTGGAAACATATGCTATTGGTATTTACAAAATAATGAATTACTCAAATAAGCAGTATATACTAAAAGTCTTCAAACATCACTTCATTGATCACTTATGTTTTGTGGTACACTTTCAACATCCCTAAGAGTTAAATGTCTTAGTCATCCAAGTAGAACAGGGTCAATTTTCAATGAAATTTATAACAATTGCACAATCATAATATACCAACCTAATTTTCTTTTATTCATAGGCATATCTTTAAAGCTTCTCGTTTTTGAACAAATGAAGAGAATCCATTTAGTTTTTGCCTTTTAGAGGTGATTTGCCACATGCACAAAGGGTCTGTAGGTAAAAGACAGGCTTCTAGGTTTCTTGAAACATTAAAAACTGTATTTACAGAGTAGTTATCTAACACTTGAGTCAATATATATTTTTTGAAAATCACTAGCTATTCATATAATATACATATATACATGTATACATATACATACACACATGTACATTTACATAGTTGTAAATACACATATACATATATACACATGTGTGTATATATATATATATGTAAAATCTGTGTACACATACATTTCTGTCTAAAGCTAGCAATTGTTTCATTCAGATACACACACACACACACACACACACACACACACACAAACATACAGACTACTTAAAAACGAAATGGAGAGTGACTTGAGATAACAACGATAGGAGGAAAAAGCCCTGGCAGTCATAGGGCTAACGTATAACTGGGCAGCAAGCAGCTATGCTTAAAGCTAACAATAAAAAAAAAGAAAATGTGGGAGTTGTGCAATTAGTTTTATTCTCATTTCTGGAAGAATATGTTCCTGATTTCTCTAACTAAAAAGAAACAATTCAAAGGAAAGCTGTAAATATTAGGAGGTAATTGAAAAATAAGAAGCAAGATAAAGTGGGGAGGTTACGAGGTGATACAGTGATCTAACAAGCTTTTCAACAGGGGACACCTGTTCTGCCTTCTAACGGAAGACAAGAAAAGCTAAGATCCTATCTTTCAACATTTAGTAATTTTAAAAATCCCATTATTTCATAAGTCAAAGTTTACCTTTGAGCTTGTATTTTTACCTCGTTTGAACTCTAAATAGAAGAGGTTTAAGCATTTGAATAACTGAATAAAAAGAAAACATAGTCTTCCCTGCCCTTGTCACTGATGATGACACTACTTGTAATTACCGTATTTTTTGGAAGAACACTCAGATGAATGGCTTCCTATGTTGTGGACTTTTATCATTCTTTTTTGATGGCTGATAGAACAATGCACACAGTGGCTACTCCATAAATGTAAGACTATGGTAGTTGTCTAGTACAAGTGTTTCTCACTGATTCTTAGTTACTAGGAAAACCAGAAAGCCTATCACCTGGCTTGCCTGCAAAGACGAGCCTAAATAAACTTCTCTAACTAAAATTTGCAGGGTCTTTCCACCTCAAAATGCTCATGGAAATACACCTTATGGGGCTTAAGGCTATTTTCAGTTCAAGGGTATTTGGAATATTTGATTTGCTTCTAGCAAAGAAAACAAACTATCAAAGAATCCAGAAAAGGTAGAAAATGTTATCTTGTCATTCAGTCAGAAAGGGAAAAGCAAACTAACAGTTCTGACTATAACTTTCACAAGTTCATCTCTCACTCACATCAAGGAGAGATTTTTCTCACATGAAATCATAAGATTATTCCTTCAGAAGGAAGCTGATTGTAGCTCTTGCTAAAAATTTTCTTTGGTATGTAGGAATAGACTTACTAGATGTACACCTAAGTCTGGGAAAATTAGATTTGATGGAGTTTGGTCATGGGTGTTTTCTAAATAATCATTACTCATTTATATATTAAAATATTATAATAATTGCTATGCCCTTGGCTTTTATAAGCCAATTCTTAATGTGAACATAAGTTCTGAACTTAATTTTGTCCAAAGGATAGATGTTTATGAAATACTAGGTATGAATACAGTCAATGTCCAAAATTTCAAGTGCAAAGTAAATGCTTCAAAAGTTACTTTGAGCATCATTTAATGTTTCAAAACATTGAAAAAGATCATATAAGGCTATTGCTTATATGTATCCTAAGAAAATTCTTGCCATCAATGTGTGATATAGACATTAATGTTGTATTTGAGAGCTTCCTTATTATAAGAACACTGACATTTGCTTTAGTAAATAAGTTATTATTCCACATTAAGTCATTTCCCCCCGACAATCCTATGACATTACCAGCTCTTTGCTCACTTCCAAGTCCACTGGAGATTTCAGATTTTGCAAGGGGGTGAGCAGATCTAGGGAGATCATACCCATGATGACTTTGTAACACATCTTTCAGCAATAGCATACACTTTGCTTATTCCTATTTGCTTCTCAGTGCAAGTGTCTGACAAAGGGGTCTGAGCTAGAAGGAGGCAAGGCTCAAGGTTAGGGTTGCCAGATTTAGCAAATAAAAATACAAGATGCTCAGTTACATTTGAATTTCAGATAAATTATTATTGATTTTAGGATTATTGTTTTAGGGTAAATATGTTCCCTACAATATTTAGGTTGTTTGTACTAAACATTATCTGTTTATTTGAAATTCAAATGTAATTGCATGTCCACTATATTATCTGGCAATCCTACTCAAGGATAACTTTACCATCTCTAAGAAGCAGTCGAGCCCCCTGACTTTTTGGAGCTGGCAAACTAAGGACACATCCCCTATCCATGGCACTGATGATTTTTCATGTGTCTTTTTAGGCCCAAGTCAGATTCAGGCCCAGAAATGAGCACATAGTGCAGGAGAAGCCTGAGAAGGGTTCACAGCCCCCATGATCACTGAGAGAGAGCTGGTTGTGTGTATGTGTGGGTTAGGGTGGGAAGGTGTTTCATGTGTCTCTATTCTTGTACTCTCTTGAATCTATTTTATAGGAGACACCATCCTTTACCTGGGGATATGATTTATACATTCCTAGATATAGTCAGGAATATTGTATGCTACTGTTTTTCATCCCACCTGCTATTTATCCCGTTCTGGATCATCACTTTACACCTGGCTATTTCTATCGCTTCCTCACCTGTCTCTACCCCTCTAGCTCCTCCATCCAAACACCTATGGCCATAGTGATGTTTGAACCATCAGAACCATCACTCACAAGTAAAGGCTGAGCTCCTTAGTGGAGCAGTCAGTGTCTTCCATGGTCTGACCCCTATATTCACCCACTTGCATTTTCTTCAACCCTCAGCTTACACTCAAGCCATGTAAAACATTTTGTAGAACATGTAGTTTTCATTCACACTTCTATGACTTTCTTTGTTGTCCCGTTTATCTGACTAGCATTCCAAATTCCTGAACAGCAAACTCTTGTTCATCTATGCTTTATGGTGAGCTCCATGCTAGCCCCTCAGGTGGCTTTACTCATTTTCTTTTATAGTTTCCACTGTAGTTTGTTAGCACCCCCAGACTCTCTCTCCAACTACAAATACCATTTACGTCTGTCTCTTCCTAGGTCTATTGGGGAAGGCTCTGTGACTTGCTCATTTTTGCTGCTGAAAAGTCTAACACTTGCAGTAGGTGCTAAATTAGAGTCTATTCAATCAGTGGGGGAACAGGGGGAGGGAGAAGAATTGACTTCTCTGTAAGTACATGAAGAATACTGCCCAGCATCTCTCTCGGAGGTGAACCATGGTAGGAAGGGGCTAAAAGTGCCTATCAACTTATACAGGATTCTCCTTAAGAGCCATA